GCTCACCTGAGGATCCCCCCCGGGCCTCATCTTCGTCTTCGTCTTCCTCCTCGGAGTCGGTGCCGAGGACTTGGTTCGCTCTTGCCTTCGCGGCCGCCTTTGCCGCCTTCTCCGCCCGAAATGCGTCCAAGCCTCGCTCTTGGTCCTCGCTCTCGTCGTCGTCCATTTCGGAGGATCTTTTTCGTCGACACGCCACCCCACACCACAACAAAGCACAGCAGCGCCCGACTTTCTTCAAAATGCATGCACACAGAAATGGGATATTTTAACGCCCACAGTAAAACAACGAGGCGCACACCCAAGCAGGTTGCCAAGAAATTGCACGGCGCCAGAAGTTTTTGTCACATTCAGAAATGGGATATTTTAACGCCCACAGTAAAGCAACGAGGCGCACACCCAAGCAGGTTACCAAGAAAATGACACGGACCACAACAAGGAACGGCGCCAGACATTTTTTCATGTGTATGCATATACAGAAATGGGATGACGAGGACAAGAAAAAACAACACTCAACCACAGCACGCTGCGCGGGGAACTGGGAGAAAAATAAGGAAGTCACCGAATGAAGTTATAAATTCAGTGCTAATCTAATCTATCACGGAATATTTCTTATCTATGGAAGAGACGGAAATAGTTGTTATGTACTTGGTAAGGTATACAAATAAACACCCAACCAACCAACCAACCAACCAGCTGCCCGCAACAAGCCACGGACAGAACGTGAACGCCGCCACCATATACATTGCGTCCCGAAAACTGAAAAATTCAAAAATACCCAAAACAACACCCCAAACAAAAAAAAAAAAACACACACACACACACAAAAGGGCTACTGGATGAATATTTCGCTTTCACCCGCAACTATTGTATATTTATTGTGTGATTGCTTCATTGCAGCAGGCTGCCAAAGCAGTAGAGGCGAAACGTTTGATGCAAGCCTCGCTGCCCATCAACAAAGTGCATGGACTCACTGCTGGCAGAGACGAAATGATCTTCGATTTGTAAGCAACATAACCAAAAATACACCCACGAGCTCACACGGCTTCGCGCAGCCGGAGAAACAAGGCTCTGACAAAACGTGACCGTTGACCACACATCGACAAACCACCAAAAGCAGTGCCCTCGCAGAAGGAAACGAAACAAAATTCAGTGGAGGTCCCTGTTTAGTGCCGGTTGAATAGTGCCGGTGCCCGGTATTGTGCTGGCGTTTTCGGCGGGCACACGCGGCGTATCTAAGTCCTTCTGTACTTTGAATAGTGCCGGTGTGCGGTATAGTGCCGGGGACTCATGCATGCCAGCACTAAAAAGGAACCTCTGCTTCTGACATCAAAAATAGCTCACCCGAGGTCGTCGTATCGTCCGGCCCTGGCCTCGTCTCTCATGTCTTTCGGTTTACTGTCGTCGAACGCTCCTTGCTGATACGAACAAACAAACGATCAAAACCAGACGAGAAAAGCGATTTGAGATAGATATACTCTCCTCAATTGCTGGCCACATTCTCCGCCCCACGCGATTTAGCCCATGTCTGTCGCCCACGAATATGTTGTCCGTATCAGCCCACACACGTTACGCGATACACGCACGAGAGCTGCTGAAACGCAGGAAAAAATGCATTGTATTAGTTTGCTCACAATCCAACACAAACATTGAATGAGTGTATTCCAACCCAATTAGATATTTACCTCGTTGCCTGACTCTCGCCAATATTTACCTGTTTATTACCTCAGTGGAAATAAATACATTGCGTGACTATCGCGAATTTCCTGGTGCTCTGCACAGAACCAGGTTTGGCTGCATTTTTCCCGGCCTAATTTTCCGTTTTGTTACTATTCTGACAAACGAACACATTTCGGGTCTCGCCTCGAGGTACTCGATGTTCATGGCCGGCCGCCTGCCCGAGCTCCCGTCCTCGGTGGGGTACTTAAGGTAGTCCTTGTTCTTGCGCCGGGCCTGCTTGTGCATCGCCTCCTCCGCCCTGGCGCGCTCCTGTTTAACCTGCGTTGAAAAACAAAACAAAACACTTTTCGCTTTTTATTAGGTGGAATTTTTTGAAATTTTACCGAAATATCCCTTGAACCCCCATCCCCTTCAAATGCATTTTTCATCTCTAACGGCTAGTCTTTCTTTTGACTGTATGCATGGTATCTCCCAGAACTAACCCCCGAACAAACGACAACATGGTCCGTCTCTTCTTCTGCTCAAACCTTCGGTGATACCCAAAAGAAAAGAAACCCCAAACTCCACAGACAGCAGCACCGGTTCCCTGTGTAAGCCAGTACAGCAGTGCCAACGGATTCGGCCGCGCTTACACTGGGGAACACGGCACACTGCAGAGCATAATTCCATTTGTGTCACGCGATTTCTCGAAGACAACCACGCGATTTCTGGAAAATCATGCGATTTCACCGAGCTTTTGCAGGGCGACCGGTGTTTTTTATTGCGGCCTAATACAAGGACCACTGCCGTGCTTGCGAGATGTCAACAGAATATTTCACAGATTGCGCGAGGAACACCGGGTGTTTCGCGGTGGCACAAGTACACGTGGGTAGGCCACGCGCCCACGGTATGTATCCTTCGGAGACCACCCACCCATCCACCCAACCAAGCCATGCCTGCCATATTCGAGCGAGAACCGTGCATTCCGTTGTAGTTTCGCCGACTGCGCGGTTGCGGCAACATTATCTTCCTACCTCTTTCTCGGATGACAGGCGAAACATGATCGATGATGAATTGAGATCAAAAGCTGGCACATAAGGACTTACGGGCCTTCGATATCGATTCATCATCATCATGTTTCGGCAACAATCGGAAAAAGAGGTGGGCAAATACTGTTGTCGCAGTCGTGTAGTCGGCGAAGTTATTACGGAAGGCACGGTTCTTTTTGGTGAACATCTACAGCAAGCAGACTCTAGTAAATGCGACCGGGATATACGTACAGCAGACTCCAGTGCTTTGGCCTCTTTTTATTGGCGATACGATAAGCGTCTCCTGGTTCTGGGGTTGTCGCCTTACGTTTGCCATATTTTGGACGTGACGTCACACTACAAGAATAGTGCCACGGGGACATGGGGGGGTTAGGCCACACGCCCACGGTATGCGTCCTTCATAGACCACCCACCCACCCACCCAACCAAGCCATGCCTGCCTCATCCTCATCCTAACGAGAACCGTGCATTCCGTAAATAGTTTCGCCGACTGCGCGGTTGCGACAGCAGTATTTGCCCACCTCTTTCTCGAATAACAAGCGAAACATGATCGATAATGAATCGATATCGATATAGATTCATCATCGACAATGTTTCGACTATTTATCGGGAAAAGAGGTAGGCAACTACTATTGTCGCAACCGCGCAGTCCTCGAAATTATTACGGAACACCCTTTCTTTTTGGTGAATATCTACAGCAGACTCTAGTTTCGCGACCGGGATACACGTGCAGCAGACTCCAGTGCTTTGGCTTTCTCTTTGTTGGCGACACGGCAAGCGTCTTCTGGTCCTGAGGTCGTCACCTTCCGTTTGCCTTCTTTCCGTCGTCTACATCGTAGTGGCAAGGGGATAATGGG